ATTTTTTATTAAATGGAATGATTCTTTTATCAAAACCAAATAACTTTCAAATAATTTTAAAAAACAAGCAATTACCTAATGCTTATACAGGGTGGAAAAACCTAAACTTAGCTATACTTAATTAATTACAAACTTCTTTGATTACAATTTAACTATACCAAATGGCTGTTTCTAATTCTCTTAAGGTAGCACAGCATGCAAGCAAAAAATACAAAAACAAAGCCAATATAATGATGATAAAAACTTCGTCCACAGCCAACCCCTCTATGGTTATTTTAGGTAGCTGGTGGAGTTAGTTATTAATCTACCTCTACAACTTAACTCCTGGGTTACTATTTCTAACTCTTATACTTAGCCTAAATACAACACAAGATTATACAATTTACACAGTGTGGTTAATAGAACTCAGTTACACTTTACAGAATTACACAGTGAAATTAACACGATTCAACTGTTAACTAAACCAATAACTAATATTTAAGCAATATTTACAAATCCAGCAACGATAACATGAAGACACACAAAAACTCAAGAGCATGCTCAGGACTCGCGCACCCCTATCTTTGACTCGAAGGGTGGGGAGGCAGCCTCAGGGTGATCAGTCCTTCAGCCGGGCAAAAAAAAAAAAGACATGCACCCTCAACACTCGGAACCTCGCTGAACAAAGGGGTCGAGGGTCTTTTATAATATAACCTGATATCCGGTACCTTATTAGGATTTCTTCCCTGGCTGGGCGTGATTACCTCATTACCAGCCTATGTGAAATATTGCCCTATAGGATTTTTCATGATGCCCGCCTGATGGCCCTGTGGACAGTGACAGGTGTGGGCATGGTCAGTGTGCATGGCAGTTGCGTCTTTATCTTCCTATGCCTACCTCCCTACCTTCAAGGACCGGTCAAGAGAGTCTTAACTATTTCTTGCAGCTGTGTTCTATCTTTTCATGCTCACCTCCCTATTTTTCAGAGCCTGTAAGTCCCAGGATTCCTGTAAGGTTAAATTCTGTTTACAGAAAGCTGCTTTCCATGCTCCTCTGAATATCTCACGGTCTGGTTTTTCCGTGACAGGCCTTGTGTGGCAAGATGGGCTATACGTGAAGGCCATGGTCAGAAAAAGCCTGCTCTACAACAGCATCCACAGACAATTTTGAATGAGAGGTATTTTGATATCAGCAAATTGGGGAAAACATTATGCAATTCAACAAGCATGTTTTTAGAACTGATTTTGTGTAAAATACAAATGGCAGTTGAATTACTCTGTTGTGCAGTATTCTTTCTCCTTTATGTTGCCTGTGGAAATGAATGGTGCCTAATGTAAAATTGTGATAGAAATGTAGCCGTGTTAGTCTGGTGGGTCTGGCCCACGAAAGCTCATCATCTAATAAACCATCTTGTTAGTCTTTAAAGTGCTACATAGTCCTGTCTAATGTAAAATTGTTTTGTATAATTCATGGCTAAGTTTCTTTGTTAATAGCGCTAGTGCCTTGTCTTTGCCCTGTGGTACTAAATGAATAGTTCAAAGAGATTGCAGACTGCACAGATTTATGGAGAGGGAGAAGAGGACAGATGATGACAGTGTAGTAGTTAAATCAGATTTATGCAGAATAAACTGATAAAGTATCTTCAGTGACTGGTCAGGGGGCATGTCAGCCGGTTTAGTTGTAATTCATAGGGCCTAGGGAGCTAACTGCATACATCTAGCTTTGCTGTGTGCGTTGGCCAAGGGATGACTGTATTATGCAGAACTAAACTGGGATGTGCCTTGAGAGGTGAACCATGCAGTATTGACTTTTTTTAAAAAAAATTGGTGACAATTCCCACTAGTGATGGGCTGAAGTCTAGCTTGTACTCTGCTCCAATCTACTGAACTTGTGATAATCTCTAAAATGTCTTTTGATCCACCCCTTTGTACTGCTGGTTGAGGAGCTCTAAAAAAGGCATGATTTTGTTGTTACATGAACAGAATTACCACAATAATGTTGCAAGTGACTTATAAAATAACATACATCTGAGTCTTTCTTATTGAACTAATACACAGATTTGCCTCTTGTCTTTCTACCTTTAATTCCTCAAACGTTGAAGTGGCACATGAAGACTTACTCTTCAAATAGCAACTATAAGATCTATAACAAAATAGATCACAATACTGCCATGCTTAGTTTGACTTTCTTAATTCATTTTATCTCAATCTGTGTTAAAGACCAATTACTCCCCTGCTCTCCAATGGGTTGTATTTTAATATGATGAAAAACTCCATTGAAGTTGTTTGGAAATACTGTAATAAGGTATTAAAGAACTAATATGCACACCTCTATTCCATCATATAACTATCAAGCTATTAAATAAATTGTAGTGTTCTATAACTCCTATTTCCATACATGTTGGGAGAGTAAAGTTTGATTTATTATTTTGGTGGAGGTTTGGCGGTTTTAAGTACTTCATCCTGCACAAAGTAGATGAATTGGTAAACAAACCTGTGAGAAGACCAAGATTAACACACTTGTGCTAGTACTACCCGTCTTTCTATGAGAGAAATGTATTTATAGCAACTGTTTACTTGGAATAAAAATTACTCCTCCTGTCTGTAAATTCCCAGAAAACATTTTTGGGAGGTGGTGAGAGTATGGAAAGGGAAATAAAGCTTTGTTTTCCTTGTGTGTACATGTGGTGAGGAGAGGCTGCTATTGCTTGGTTTTCTTACCACATAGCACTGCTCTTCCAACAGACTGCTGAAGAGCAAACATTGTCTACTTCAGTAATTATTTACGCACATATTGGATTATTTTTCCATATCTTATGTGGCTAGGCCAAATTTTGTAGCCAGCCCTCTTTGCTCCAACTAGGTTAGATACTAGGAAAAGCTATTTCACTAGGATGGTGGTGAAGCACTAGAATGGGTTACCTAGGGAGGTGGTAAAATCTCTATCCCTAGAGATTTTTAAGTCCTGGCTTGACAAAGCCCTGGCTGGGATGATTTAGTTAGGATTAGTGCTGCTTTGGGCAGGGGGCTGGACTCGATCTTGGTCCTGAGGTATCTTTCAGATCTAGGATTCTATGACTCTATGAAGCCCTATTTAACCAGCAAACAAAAGGTTAGGTAGACATTAAGAAAATAATTTTGTTGACCTATTTCTCGAAGCTGAGTAGTGATGCATAACACAAGCCTATCTCTATCATGGCATACATGCCTAGCTCACCCTCAGGCAAAAGAGGCAACTTTTGCCTACTTTTCTCCACTTCAGTGTTTTTGAAAGTAAACATCTAGGCTACGTCTACATTGCATGCCCTTGTGCAAGAACATATGCAAATGATGGCTCAAGTATGCAAATAAGGCATGGGAATATTCATTGCTGTGCCTCATTTGCATATGTTGCACAAGAGAGCACAATGTAGACACAACCCTAAATTGGTAATAGCTAAAGGGTAATTCATCCTTTTAGAGGGGCCTGATTCGTGCTGTTGGTTTGTGTGTATGTACAGTATCTCTTAATAGTTTAAGAACCTCACATTATTCTCAAATACACTAAAATTTGCAGAACACTTGGGCATTCAAAACCATAGAGCTTGATGTAACATTTTTAGTAACTCTCCTCTTTAAAAACTGTAGTAGTTTCTCCCCAAGGCTAATACATTTTTGTATAAAATGATTGTTTGGGTAGAAAAAATGGAACCTTAAACAGAATAATCAGTATAAATGGATGTTTACTAGTGAGGGAATTGATTTGTCTTTTTGGAAGTTTAGCTGAGGTATTACAGCCCTCTGCTGGATGAAACACTAACTGTAGCTACAGAGATGCCTTTTAAAACTCAGTGCTCAGTGG